CAAGAGGGGTCTGCCAGGGAGACTGCAACTGGCCGATCAAGCGGCGTGAGTGTGGTGCGATCTCGAAAGAAGGAGCGAGAAGCCCCTAAGTCAAGTGTGAAGGTGAGGGAGGCCGAAGCCGACGTGGTACCTGAGAGCGCGGACTCACCAGCACCTGAGGGCGCAAACGCACTGGCACCTAGAGCAGCAGCCTCACCAGCACCTAGAGCAGCAGTACCAATGCCCGGGTCGGGCGGGAAACACCGGTAATAGTCACCCTCATCACTAATAGTCACAGCATACATGGCAGCAAGGATAGCATCAAAGTTAAGATCAAAGATAGCTACGCCTGCCCTAGACAGCTCTCTCTAGCGGGGGATCTCACTAGCCTCCGGGAACTGCTGACGCCAAGCGTCCGTCAGGCGGCCAAAGCAGCGCTGGGTGGGGTGAGCACCCCCACACTGCTCACCCGCGCGGTCGCCGGAGCGAAGGACGTAGGTGCACGGGCCAAAACCCCCACCACGCTGACGCTCGGTGTACCACTCACGGAGCTGCTGAGGAGGGGGGATGTCCCGAGAACGCTGCTGCTGCTGCTGGCGCTGACCACTCCCGGAGCCGCTCCACTGCGAAGCACCGCCCCGACCAGCTCCACCTCCTCCACCACCGCCGCCTCCACCTCCGCCACCACCGCCGCCTCCGCTTCCACCGCTACCGCCACCGCCGCCTCCGCCTCCACCGCTGCCACTGCCACCTCTACCCCCACCACCACTCCCACCGCCACCCCCACTCCCTCCGCCGCCTCCACCGCCACCTCCACCACCCCCGCTAGCCCCACCCGCGCCCTTGCCCCCCTTGCCCTTGCCTGAGCGGCGTCTCCCGCTAGGGGCAGACGCCGCACCGACCGACTCAAGACCAACGAGGTCGGCCGCAGCAGTAGAGGCGACAGAGGGCAACAGGGGGGAAGGAGAACACCCCTCAAAGATGGGGGTGCGAGGGTCACCACGAGAGGCTCCTACAGCGACTATGCTCTTCTCCGCTACTAGGAGGGCCTTCTCTAGGAGGTCAACAGTGAGAGTGGTGGGACAGACTGAGAGGAAGTGGTCCCTGACTACACGAAGGGAGTCAGGGAGGCGGGTGACTATATAATAGAGAGTGATGTACATGGGGGGGGGGGTTCTTGGCGCAGAACTCAGCAGGAAGCGCGGCGCGGTAGCGAGTGTCACTAGTGCGGAGGTGCATAATGAGGTCAGCGACTGTGGGAAAGGCAGCAAGGTCTCGAAAGAGGTACGGTAGCATGAGGCGGCTCAGTGCAGCAGTGGCAGGGGAAGAGTAGCGTGCAACTACAGCGTCGTACAAGGTCTGAGCACTCTTGTACTGACTAAAGTGCGCGCGCTCAGTGGTAGGCAGGTGGCGACGCACAGCAAGACGTGCAGCAGCATCGCGAGTGGCCCACTGGGAGCGAACAGTGGCGTCGGCATCGGCAGCAGGGGCAGGGGAAGCACTAGAGGTGAGGTCAAAGAGGGAAAGACCGTCTGCCCTATCGCACTGTAGGAAAAGCTGCAGGTCATCTACCCAAACCTCAAAGTCAATGGCTCGACCCTCAGCGTCAAAAGCGAGAATACTGGGGGTAGCCATGACAACAGTGGACTAGCAGTACCAACTGTAGGACAGGGGCAGTGCAGTGACAGAAGCGCTGCTCTCACCAGGCAGGGCGGGTCGGGCAGCTCAGCGGTACAGCAGCACGGCAACACGGCTGCTCGGACGGCACAGCAGCAACTGCGGCTCCGTGGCACCAGCGGCTCGGCTCCTCAGGCGGCTCGGGCGGCTCAAGCGGCTCGGGTGGCTCGGGCGGCTCGTGCGGCTCGGGCGGCTCGGGCTGGTCGGGCGGCACGGGCGTTCAGGAGAGTCGGGCGGCTCGGGCAGCTCGGGCAGGTAGAACTAGAATGGGAATGACTAAGGAATGGAAGTGATACAAATATGCAACCCTAGAAATGTGTACCCCATAAAGGCTACCCCACTATAGCCTACACAATATTATAATTTGACATAAGAATGGCCGGAGGATCTGGAGGTCAGACGAATCTGACGGCTGAAGCGCAGCCCAACCTGGCTGCGATTAACGAGGAAACGACGACGATTCCTTCCGCCGTCCTTGCACAACTGCTTCAGCGACTCACGAGCCTGGAGCAAGGGCTCCAGACATTGCGGAATGGCGATGCGGTAACCTCTTCCCAACCCACTCAACCGACCTCAAACGGCCAGAACTCCGCCCCGCAAGGCTTCTCTCTCGATACGAACGGCTCAACCCCCAAGACTTCCTGTCCTAGCGATGAAGCAATTCTCTCTGCGCAATCAAGGTTTTTGAGCATATAAAAAATAAAGACAAGTGCGTGCTTTGACGGCAGAGACTTCTATACCTGGAGCTTTGAGCTGGATCTGCTACTGCAAAACGCGCAGATTTATCATTATTTCGACAAAAGCTACTCGGGGCCTACGGAAGAAACTTACGATGCAAAAACCAAGTACTACAACGAGTCCCTGATGGCGTATGGGGTTCTTCTGCGGAACATGTCGCCGCGGAGCAATTGAGCATTCGCTCGTACAAGACCTCCCCTGCTCCAGCCCTCAACGGCCTGGCGCCACCTGAATGGCGTATACCAACCCAAGGACTCAGTGTCGTTGAGCCGCCTCCTCCAGCAGTTACTGGAAACAAGGATGGCACCAGGAGAGAAAGCCAATAGTTACATGAATCGCTGTCGGAGTCTACGCAATCAAATCGCGAAATTGGGGAGCTCGATCTCTGAGGAGATCTTCGTGAACATCGTGCTCCAAGGGCTCGGCCCAGAGTGGCGGCCCTGCAAGGCGCTTCTCCGACAGCAGGGGGTCATCTCGGAGCCCGCCCTCCTTGTCGAACAACGGGATATGGACCAGCAGCGACCAGCGCCACGTCAAGAGAGAGAACGTCTCGCATTCTACGCTGTCAGAACATATCTATAGCTTATACTATTGTGTAGGCTGTAGTGGGGTATCTGTCAAACATTTATATGTTTGTGTGGTTCTAGGCTGTAGTGGGTCACACCATAAAGGGTACACCAGATTAGGGTTTGACATATTTGTACTGTTGTTCCTGCTAGTCACTCCTCATTCTCGTTTCTCATTCTAACATGGTATTACGAGCCTAGGTTCCACCTAGGACCGAAACGATAGGGCCCACCGTTTCCGCTAGCCGCGCCCTCGTGCGCCGCCGTTCTTTTTCCTGCGCCTCGAGCGCCTCCTTCTCAAGGCCCCGTATGGCCCCGCGCTAGCCTCTCACGGCCCCCGATAGGCCCCGCGTTAACCTCCTAAGGCCCCCGTCGGCCCCACGCTAGCCCCGCGCTAGCCTCCTAAGGCCCCCGATCGGCCCCGCGCTAGCCTCCTAAGCCCCCGTCGGCCCCACGCTAGCCCCGCGCTAGCCTCCTAAGGCCCCCCGATCGGCCCCGCGCTAGCCTCCTAAGGCCCCCGTCGGCCCCGCGCTAGCCTCCTAAGCCCCCGTCGGCCCCACGCTAGCCCCGCGCTAGCCTCCTAAGGCCCCCGATCGGCCCCGCGCTAGCCTCCTGAGGCCCCCGTCGGCCCCGCGCTAGCCTCCCACGTCCCCTGCAGGCCCCGCGCTAGCCTCTCACGGCCCCCCCTTTGGCCCCGCGCTAGCCCCGACCGGCCCTCCCGCGCTCGCCCCTCTACGACCGAGCCGCACGGCGTGACCCGAACCGAACCGCGCGACCCAGCCGAGCCGCGCCGCCCCAGCCGAGCCGCGCCGCCCTAGCCGAGTCGCGCCGCCCTAGCCGAGTCGCGCCGCCCTAGCCGAGCCGCGCCGCCCTAGCCGAGCCGCGCCCTACTTACCTGTGCACAGCACTGCTACTGCTACTGCTACTACTACTACCACCACTGCTGCTACTGCTACTTCAGCTATGGCTAGCCCTACAGTTCTCTCGTTCGATTCTGAGGGCCGCCCGATTAAGTTTGATACCTGGCTCGATGATCTGCACCTGTTCCTCCAGCTCACTGCCAGAGAGGATATCTCGCAGTACGATCACGCACTAGGCACAGTCCCTGCTCCTGCTACTACTGCTACCGCTACTGCTCGCTCGCAGTGGCAGACTCGCGATGCCCACGCCCGCTTTGCCATTCGCAACTCCCTGCCACTCGATGAGCGTGAGCACTTCGGCCACCATCAGACTGCGCAGGCCCTGTACACTGCTGTAGTTGCGCGCTACTCCTCCCCGGCCTCAGCTGCACTAGGCCGTCTCTCCCTTCCCTACCTGTTCCCCGACCTGTCCGCTTTCCAGACAGTCGCTGACCTCATCACTCACCTCCGTACTAGTGATGCCCGCTTCCGTGCAGCCATGCCCGCTGAGTTTCTTGCCTCCAACCCTCCCCCGCTCTGGCTCACTCTCTACCACCTAGTCACCCGCCTCCCTGACACTCTGCGTACAGTCAGGGACCACTTCCTAGCTCGCTGCCCCACTGAGCTCACCATTGCCGCCCTAGAGAAGGAACTACTTGCAGCTGAGAAGAGTATTGTAGCTGTAGGTGCCTCTCGTGGCGACCCCCGCACCCCTTTCTTCGAGGGGTGTTCCCCCTCCCCCCTCCTCCCCTCTGTCGCCTCTGCTGCTGCTGTCGACCTTCTTGGTGCTGAGCAGGTCGGCTCTGCGTCCGCTCCCAGCGGGCGCCGCAGCGGCAAGGGCAGGGGAGGCAAGGGTGGTGGGGGTGACGGCGGGGGAGGTGGTGGTGGGGGTGGTGGCAGCGGCGGGGGCGGTGGCGGGGCTGGAGGGGCTAGTGGCAGCGGTGGGGGTGGTGGAGGCAGCGGCGGCGGCGGTGGCCGCGGTGGGGGCGGTGGTGGTGGCGGCAGTGGACGTGGTGGTGGCAGGGGCGGTGGTGGTCGTGGTGGCGGCGGCGGTGGTGGTGGCACGCTTGGCGTGCTCAGTTTCCTGACGCTCCTGACCTCCCTCAGTGGGCTGATCTCCTCAAGAAGGATATCAATATCTATGCTCTTGATTTTGATGTTATTCTCAAAGCAATGTATGCATTGACTATTAGTGGAGAGGAGGACTAGTACCTGAGTGTTCCGCCTGACCCAGGCATCCGCACGAGTGAGGCTGCCGCCCTAGGTGCTTGCGTGTCTGCTGCCCCAGGTACTGGTGAGGCTACTGCTCTAGGTGCGTGTGTGTCCGCCACCCCAGGTGCTACTGAGTCCACTGAGGCACTGCACACCTTCACTCTAGACTCAGGCGCTTCGCGCTGTTTCTTTCGTGACCGCACTGCTCTTGAGCCTCTTGCTCGACCAGTCGCTGTCTCGCTCGCTGACCCCTCTGGGGGTCCGGTCATTGCGACCTCCTCCACCCTCCTTCCTTGTCCTGCTGTCCCGTCGGGCACACTGTCAGGTCTCCACCTCCCCTCGTTCTCTACGAACTTGGTGGCGGGTTGTGCGCTTCAGGATGGGGGTGTTCACCAGTTCACCCCTGCCTACGAGCGTGTGACACACTGCACGTGTGCTCGGACGGGCCGTCACCTGGCTACCTTCACTCGGCAGCCGGGGTTGGACCTGTACACACTGACCACTGAGTCCCCTCAGGTAGCGGCGTCTGCGTATGCGTCTGCGTTAGGTCAGCTCTCTGCCCCCTGCTCGTGTCGCTCTCTAGCGCACAAGACTGTCCTCTGGCACCACCGACTTGGTCACCCGTCAGTGCAGCGCCTTCGGGGCATGCACGCCCGGTACCTTGTCTCTGGTCTTCCTCGGGTACTCCCTCCCCTCCCACCCTCCCTTGCTCCTCCTTGTCTTCCCTGTGTCGAGGGGCGGCAGCGCGCTGCCCCTCACTCCTCCTCGTTCCCCCCGACGACTGCTCCTTTGCAGACGCTCCACATGGACGTGTGGGGCCCAGCCCGCGTCCGTGGTCAGGGCCAGGAGAGGTACTTCTTGATCGTCGTTGACGACTACTCGCGCTACACCACGGTCTTCCCCTTGCGCACCAAGGGTGAAGTCCCTGATGTTCTGATCCCTTGGATCAGCAGAGCACGTCTTCAGCTGCGAGAGCGTTTTCGCTCGGAGTTTCCTGTTCTGCGCTTGCACTCTGACAGAGGTGGCGAGTTCTCCTCCGACCTCTTGGCAGCCTACTGTGCCGAGCATGGCATTCGCCAGTCGTTCACGCTCCCGGCCTCTCCACAGCAGAATGGGGTTGCTGAGCGCCGCATTGGCTTGGTCATGGAGGTCGCTCGTACCTCCTTAGTCCACGCGGCTGCCCCCCACTTTCTGTGGCCGTTTGCGGTCCGGTACGCTGCGCATCAGCTCAACCTCTGGCCCCGTGTCTCCGCTCCGGAGACCTCGCCCACACTGCTGTGGACGGGGGAGGTTGGCGATGCGTCACGCTTCCGTGTCTGGGGATCCCGAGCTTTTGTTCGCGATTCGTCTGCGGACAAGCTCTCCTCCCGCACTGCTCCCTGTATCTTTCTTGGCTTTGTCCCGGATGCGTCTGGCTGGCAGTTTTACCACCCCGCCTCGCACCGAGTCTTCCCCTCTCAGGACGTCACTTTTGACGAGTCCGTGCCCTTCTACCGCCTCTTCCCCTACCGCACTGCCCCGCTCCCTCCCCCGCCTCTCTTCCTCGCGCCAGTTGCTGCAGTGGTAGACCCCCTTCCCCCTCAGGGTGCCGCTCCCTCAGGTGTCTCTCAGGTAGACCCGGTTGAGCCTGCCGAGGTAGCTGTCGACTCGCGTCCTGCTGGAGGTGCTGAGCCAGAGCGTGCGGAGCCTGAGCGGGCGGAGCCTGGGGGTTCTGAGTCTAGGGGTGCTGATCCTGGGGGTGCTGAGCCTGGGGGTGCTGGGTTTGGGGGTACTGAGCCTGGCGTTGCTGAGTCTAGGGGTACTGCGCCTGGAGTTGCTGAGCCTGGGGGTGCTGAGCCTGGTGGTGTTGCAGTTGACTGTGAGGCGCCTGGAGGACCTCCCTCTTCGCAGCAGCTGTGTGAGTGGTACTCACGGTACTGCAGCCTCCGGCGAGGTGAGTCTCGGGCTCGTGGTACTGCTGGAGTTGGTACTCGTGCTTCCCCACCACGGCGGGAGCCGCCCTCTTCCCCTCAGCTTCGAGAGTGGTACGCTCGGCACATCAGTCTCCGTAGTGGAGCTGCTGGTGCTGGGGTCCCCGGAGTTGACGCTGCTGCGAGTACTACGGACCCTGGTGCTGGAGGTGCTGCTGCTGCTGGCGGTGCTGCTGGAGGTGCTGCTGCTGCTGGCGGTGCTGCTGGAGGTGCTGCTAGTACTGAGGACCCGGGCGTTGGAGCTGCTGTGGGTGCTACGGACCCTGGTGCTGGAGGTCCAGCTGCTGCTGGCGGTGCTGCTGGAGGTACTGCTGCTGCTGGCGGTGCTGCTGGAGGTGCTGCGGACCCTGGTGCTGGAGGTGCTGCTGCTTCTGGAGGTGCTGCTGCTGCCGCTGGTGTCTCTGCTGGTTCGAGAGCTGCTGCACGGCCACGACCGTACTTCGTTCCGCTCCTTCAGCAGGTTCTTGGTCAGCCTCCTCCTCCTTGTTCTCCTCTCGCCTTAGAGTGTTCGCCGTCTGTCCAGTCACAGCCACAGTTACCGCCTGCCTCCCCACTCCCTGTGCCTGCTCCTTACACTGGTCCAACTGACGGTCTTGCTGAGAGACGTGAGCCTGCGTCACGTCCTGTGTCACCTGCGTCTCGTCGAGCGTCGCCTGTTCGAGCTGCTACCACTGGTAGTCGTGTCCCGCGTGAGCGTCCTCCTGCTGTCCCAGGCACGCACCGGATGGCGCTTCGTCAGTCCACTGCTCCGCAGCGTGTTGCTCTCCCGTCGCCTCCTGCGTCCTCTCTTCCTGCTCTTGCTGACCCGGAGTCAGACTCCCTTCGCGCTGCCAGTCCTACTGTCACACGTCTCCTGGCTACGGTTGTCACTGACCCTTCCTTTGAGTCCGCTGCTGCGTCTGCCCTAGTCACTGAGCTTGTCGACTTTGCAGCTGCGTGTCGTCTAGACTACGCAGCGAGTCTTGTTGCTGAGTCTGAGTCTGCCTGTCCTCCGTCCGTCGGGGGTGAGTGTGCTCTTGGCACGGACGTCCTTGAGGACAGGCAGGAGGAGTTTGGTTGCCTTGTTTTGCCTTGACTGGTCTTGTGACCCCTAGGTCTCCCCCACTTTGCCTATGGGGGTGTGTCAAACATTTATATGTTTGTGTGGTTCTAGGCTGTAGTGGGTCACACCATAAAGGGTACACCAGATTAGGGTTTGACATATTTGTACTGTTGTTCCTGCTAGTCACTCCTCATTCTCGTTTCTCATTCTGACAGTATCCCATAGGGGGTACAACCCAGTTAGGGTTTCATATTTGTACTGCCTTCATTCATAGTCCACACCATTCCTGTTCTACAATTCTCACATGGTATAGAGCGGGTTCCCTGTGGGAACTTCGCCTAGGGCCCACCGAAGCGCGCCCCAAGGCGCGCTAACTTTTTTTTCCTCTCGCTCGAGCGACCCTCCGTGTCGCCCTTCCCTCGCGGCCCTGCCGCCCCTTCGGACGCGGCCCCGCCGCCATTTCGATCGCGGCCCCGCCGCCTACTCAGACGCGGCCCCGCCTCCTGCTCAGCCGCGGCCCCGCCGCCCGCTACGACGCGGCCCCGCCGCCCGCTACGACGCGGCCCCGCCGCCCGCTACGACGCGGCTCCGCCGCCTGCTCAGACGCGGCCCCGCCGCCCGCTCAGTCGCGGCCCCGCCGCCTGCTCAACCGCGGCCCCGCCGCCCGCTACGACGCGGCCCCGCCGCCCGCTACGACGCGGCCCCGCCACCCGCTACGACGCGGCTCCGCCGCCTGCTCAGACGCGGCCCCGCCGCCCGCTCAGTCGCGGCCCCGCCGCCTGCTCAACCGTGGCCCCGCCGCCCGCTACGACGCGGCCCCGCCGCCTGCTCAGCCGCGGCCCCGCCGCCCGCTCAGACGCGGCCCCGCCGTCCCCTTCTAACGGCCCTGCAGCCGCGCCTGACGGCCCCGCCGTCCCCTCTACCGGCTCCGCCGCTGCACCCGACGGCCCCGCCGTCCCCTCTGCCGGCCCCGCCGCTGCTTCAACCGGCCCCGCCGCTACCCCTACCGACCCCGCTGCTGCACCTGTCGGCCCCCCCCGCCCCAGAAGCCGAGCCGCAGTAGCAGCCGAGCCGCCCCAGTAGCCGAGCCGCCCCTGCAGCCGAGCCGCCCCAGCAGCCGCGCCGCCCCAGCAGCCGTGCCGCCCGAGCCGCCGAGTCGCCCGAGCCGCCCAGCAGCCGCGCCGCCGAGCCGCCCGAGCCGCCCGAGCCGCCCGAGCCCTCCCTGCACTGCCCTGTCTGGTGAGCACTGAGCTTTACTCCGCGCACTGCCCTCTCTCTACTGCTGTCATGGCTACCCCCAGTGTCCTCACCTTTGACGCTGAGGGCAGAGCCATTGACTTTGACGTGTGGGTAGACGACCTACTGCTTTTCCTACAGTGCGACAGAGCTGACGGCCTCTCTCTCTTTGATCTCACTTCTGGTGCCTCTCCCGCCCCTGCTGCTACTGAGGATGCCACTGTTCGCTCACAGTGGGCCACACGCGATGCTGCTGCACGTCTTGCTGTGCGTCGCCACCTCCCTCCCGCTGAGCGTGCGCACTTTGGGTCGTACAAGAGTGCTCAGACCTTGTACGACGCCGTTATTGCACGCTACTCCACCCCTGCCACTGCTGCACTGAGCCGCCTCATGCTACCATACCTCTTTCCCGACCTTGCTGCTTTTGCCACAGTAGCCGACCTCATTACCCACCTGCGCACTAGTGACGCTCGCTTCCGCGCTGCACTTCCTGCTGAGTTCTGCGCCAAGAACCCCCCCCCCTAGTACTTCACTCTCTACTACATTGTCACCCGCCACCCTGACTCCCTTCGCGGAGTCAGGGACGACCTACTCGCAGTCTGCCCCACCACTCTCACTGTCGAGCTCCTCGAGAAGTCCCTCCTAGCAGCCGAGAAGAGCATTCTCGCTGTAGGGGCCTCTCGTGGTGACCCACGCACCCCCATCTTTGAGGGGTGTTCCCCCTCCCCCCTCCTGCCCTCTGTCGCCTCTGCTGCTACGGCCGACCTTGTTGGTTTTGAGTCGGTCGGTGCGGCGTCTGCCCCCAGCGGGAGACGTCGCTCTGGCAAGAGCAAGGGGGGCAGGGGCGGTGGTGGAGGCGGCGGGGGCGGTGGAGGCGGCGGGAGAGGCAGCGGAGGAGGTGAGGGTGGTAGCGGGAGTGGTAGCGGGAGTGGAGGTGTTGGCGGAGGCAGTGGAGGCGGGGGCGGCAGCGGCGGTGGTGGTGGGAGTGAAGGCGGAGGCGGCGGTGGCGGCGGCGACGGTGGGAGTGGCGGTGGCAGCGGAGGTGGTGGCGGCGGCGGCGGAGCAGGCGGCGGAGGTCGTGGCTCGTCGAGGAGGAGTGGCTCCGGTGGTGGTCACCGCCAGCAGCAGCAGCGTGGTCAGGAGACCCTCTCCTCGCAGCAGCTCCGTGAGTGGTACTCTGCACGTCAGCGGGGTGGGGGTGCTGGTCCGTGCACTTACGTCCTGCGCACTGGCGACCGTGCGGGTGAGCAGTGTGGTGGTCCACACCCCGCCCAGCGTTGCTTCGGCCGCCTGACTGACGCTTGGCGCCGCCAGTTTCCTGACGCCTCTGAAATCCCTCGCTGGGACCAGCTGTCTAGGTCAGGAGTAGCTATCTTTGATCTTGACTTTGATGCTATTCTTGCTGCCATGTATGCTGTGACTATTAGTGAGGAGGGTGACTGTTACCGGTGTTTCCCGCCCGACCCGGGCATTGGTACTGCGGCTCTAGGTGCTGTTGAGGCTACTGCTCCAGGTGCTGGTGAGGCTGTTGCTCTAGGTGCCAGTGAGTCTGAGTCCTCAGGTGCTGGTGAGTCTGCTCTCTCAGGTACTGCGTCGGCTCCGCCCTCTCTCACTTTCACTCTTGACTCCGGGGCGTCTCGCTCCTTCTTTCGAGACCGCACCACACTCACGCCGCTTAGTCGGCCAGTGGCGGTCTCCCTGGCAGACCCCTCTGGGGGTCCTGTTCTGGCTCGCTACTCCACTGTCCTGCCGTGCCCTGCGGTCCCGTCTGGCGCCCTGTCCGGTCTCTACCTCCCCTCGTTCTCTACGAACTTGGTGGCGGGTGCTGACCTACAAGATGCAGGGGTTGACCAGTTCACCCCTGCGCGCCGACGGGTCACCCACTGCACGGACGCAGACACGGGTCGACACCTGACCACGTTCACACGTGGGCCGGGGTAGAGCCTGTACACACTCACTGTTCCGTCTCCTCCTCCTGCGTCGGGTCAGGTGTTTGCTGCAGCGTCCAGGTCTGGTCCTGAGTCTGCCCCCTGCTCGTGTCGCCTCCTGTCCCACGAGACCCTCATGTGGCACCACAGGATGGGTCACCCCTCCCTGCCTCGTCTCCGGGGCATGGCCTCTCGCCTTCTTGTCTCTGGCCTTCCCAGGTCCCTCCCTCCCCTTCCTCCGGGGCCTGGCCCTCCCTGTGTCCCCTGTGTCGAGGGTCGCCTGCGGGCTACCCCTCACTCCTCCCCGTTTCTACCGACGGAGGCCCCGATGCAGACGCTTCACATGGACGTGTGGGGCCCAGCCCGCGTCCGTGGACAGGGTCACGAGCGCTACTTCCTGCTGGTGGTTGACGACTACTCGCGTTACACCGCAGTCTTCCCCTTGCGCAGCAAGGGTGAGGTCACTGAGGTGTTGATCGACTGGATCCGCGCAGCTCGTCTCCAGCTCAGGCGGAGCTTCGGCTCGGACTTTCCTGTTCTGCGTCTGCATTCGGACAGAGGCGGAGAGTTCTCCTCCGGCCTTCTGCGAGCCTACTGTCGGGCACGAGGCATCCGCCAGACCTTCACGCTTCCGGACTCTCCACAGCAGAATGGGATTGCTGAGCGCCGCATCGGCATTGTCATGGACGTCGCCCGTACGTCCATGGTGCATGCGGCTGCCCCCCATTTTCTGTGGCCGTTTGCGGTTCGGTACGCCGCGCATCAGATCAACCTTCAGCCCAGAGTCTCCCGACCGGAGACCTCCCCAGCTTTGCTGTGGACGGGGAAGGTTGGCGATGCGTCGGCGTTCCGTGTCTGGGGATCTCGGGCGTTTGTTCGCGACTTGTCTGCGGACAAGCTGTCCCCTCGTGCTGCTCCCTGTGTCTTCCTTGGCTTCCCCACAGACGCTCCCGGGTGGCAGTTTTACCACCCCTCCTCTCGTCGTGTTCTGTCCTCCCAGGACGTCACGTTCGACGAGTCAGTCCCCTTCTACCGCCTCTTCCCCTACCGCACTCCTTCCCTCCCCCCTCCGCCGGACTTCCTGGAGCCAGTTCCCCCCCCGGTAGACCCCCTCCCCCCTCAGGTTCCTGCCCCCTCAGGTGTGTCCCAGGTAGACGCAGTTGACCCGGTCGAGGTTACTGGTGACTCTGGTGCTGCTGCGGGTGCTGAGCCTGGGGGTGCTGACTCTGGGGGTGCTGTGCGCGGGGGTGCCGAGCCTGGAGGTGCTGCTACTGGGGTTGCTGAGCCTGGGGGTGCTGGGCCTGGACGTGCTACTGCGGAGGGTGCTGAGCCTGGGGGTGCTGAGCCGGGGGGTACGGTGCCTGGAGCTGCTGAGCTAGGGGGTGCTGGGTCTGGGGTTGCTGGGTCGGGAGCTGCTAAGCCTGGGGGTACTGAGTCTGGAGCTGCTGAGCCTGGGGGTGCTACGTCTGGAGCTGCTGAGCCTGGGGTTTCTCCTGCTGCTGCGTCTCGCCGGGAGCCCCTCTCTCCACAGGAGCTGCGCGAGTGGTTTGCTCGCCGCTGGAGGCGTGCTGCTGGAGCTGGAGCTTCTTCGACCGTCGAGGGTGCTGGTGCTGCCGGTCCCGGAGCTGCTGGGCCTGCGGGTACTCCTGGAGCAGGAGCTCCTGAGGGTGTTGTTGCTGAGACTACTGCTGTCTGTCCCGGCGGTGGTTCTGCTGCTGGTGCTGCTGGAGGTCCTGCCGCTGGAGGTGTTGGTGGCGCTGGTGCTGTCGCTGAGGGTGCTGGTGCTGTCCCTGCTGAGTCTGGAGCTGCCGCGCGGCCTCGACCGTACTTCGTTCCGCTCCTGCAGCAGGTTCTTGGTCTTTCTCCTCC